CTTCGTTTGTCTTGGCTGTTTTGGGTCTCCTGTTTCGTCTTGCTTTCTGTCTTATGTTTCGGTTTATATTATGTCTTCTATTTCGTCTTATTTCTGTCTTCTGTTTCATCCTTTTTCTGTCCTGTTTCGTCTTATTTTCTGTCTTCTGTTTGGTCTATTTCTTTTCTGTTTTCTCTCGCCTCTTTCGTCTTCTTTCTGTCTCCCTTTTTATCTTTTTTTTTATTCCCCTTGCTTCGTCATCATCTACATCTCCCATTGTATTTTCTTCATTCTCTTTCTTTTTTCTTTCCCTTTTATTTCTTATTCTTACATGGCTTCTTTTCGTTCGACTCTCGTCCAGTTATTTTTTCTACATTTCTTTGGATTTCATTACCTCTTCCTGTGTCTATGCCTCATTTTATTCTTTGTTTCTACATCGTCTTTTAATTATCTGTTTCGTGTTTCGTCTTCCTTCTCTTCTTTTCTTCTGCCTCCTCTTCCTCTTATTTCTTTTTTTTTTCGTATTGCTTCACATATTTATCTTTTCCTCTCCTATTCCCCTTTTCTATTACCTCGAGTCATTTTACCATTTCTTATTTTGCTTGTTTGTTTGTTTATTCTTTACGGAAATGAAATAGCTTAATGAAATACAGAAAATTTTAAAGTAACATTCGTCAAAAAATCAGTCTGAATTCATTTTACCATTTCTTAATTTGCTTGTTTGTTTGTTTATTCTTTACGGAAATGAAATAGCTTAATGAAATACAGAAAATTTTAATGATGTGGAATTGTTCGAAAAAAAAACAAAGAACATTTCAATCTGAATTTATGATAAGAACTGTTTAAGATCAAATACCGATCAAGATTGTTAAAGTTAACGATGGAATTGACCATCTAGACTTTAATTGATGGTGAAAATAACGACGAAATCTGCTGAAGTTCACGGTGAAAATAACGACCAAGACTTCAAATTAACGGTGGAAATAACGAAGAGACTTCAAATTAACGGTGGAAATAACGACCAAGACTTCAAATTAACGAAATAACGAAGAAGACTTTAAATTAACGGTGGAAATAACGAATAAAAACCGTTGAAGTTAACGAAAAAATTGACGATCAAGACAGTTTGAAATAACGGTGAAAATAATAATAGAAACTGGTGGAGTTAACTATGAAACTCACGATCGAGACTGTTAGAATTTACGGTGAAAATAGCCATAAAAACGAACGAAATTTAAATATCAAATCTCCTTTGAAAATAACGATCGAAAAATAAATCAAATACCAAAAAAATAATTTAAAAAAATCTTTTGGTCCAATTTTTCATTTTTGAAATTATATCATGAAGATCCACCCCGATATAACCCGTGATATCAGAAACTATTAATTAGGGGTAATTAGGGACAAGCATTACGTAGTTATTGGGGAAATTACCACACGTCTCTAATTACGCTCATTAAGGAACTCGGTTAATTGGTATATTTCGATGGATTGAGGAAAGGATATTTGGATATTTGGGTAACATGAAAATATAACGTAAATTATATCTATTTTTGCATGCAGAAAATTATGAATAGATGATGGTTGTGCTGTGTGTGTGTGTGTGTTGTGTTGTGTGTGTGTGTGTGTGTGTGTGTGTTGTGTGTGTGTGTGTGTGTGTGTGTGCGTGTGTGTGTGTGTGTGTGTGTGTGTGTGTGTGTGTGTGTGTGTGTGTGTGTGTGTGTGTGTGTGTGTGTGTGTGTGTGTGTGTGTGTGTGTGTGTGTGTGTGTGTGTGTGTGTGTGTGTGTGTGTGTGTGTGTGTGTGTGTACATGTACGTGTTTGTGCATAATTTTGAAAGATTAAGCATGGTCTTTATTTCATTTCAAAGATTTATAATTTTGTAACGGTTTTAACGACAACTAATCGTCACAAATGTAAAAGATTTCCTACATTAACAACAACAACAACAACAACACGTATTTTTACACCTATATACATCCCGCTGATAACATCTACTCCCTTTCTCACGCAAAAAAAAATAAATAAATAAATAAATATATCAATGATTCATTTTAATATCAACCTTAAACAAAACATCAATATCCACACAGGAAGCAGAAATTAAAAGGCCAAAAATACATTAATTTCAACAGCAATATGATATGTTTGTCGTCAACGGGGGGAGGGGGGGAGGGTGGGGGAGACCATTGATAATTAGGGTCGTTATTATCATTGTTATGTTAATCATTATTATTATCATCATTACTATTATATCATTTATCATTATTATCAATATTTATTATATTATATCATCATTATATTATCAATAATGTATCATCATTATTATCATCATTATATTATTATCATTATTATCATTATTATCATTATATATTGATTATTATCATTATCATATCATTATCGATTATCATCATTATTATCATTATCATTCATTATCATCATTATTATCATCATTATATCATTATATCATTATTATCATGTTTTTATATTACATTATCATCATTATCATTATCATTGTTACTGTTATCATTATGTTACTATTATCATAATCATTATCCTTCTCATTATTAACATATAGTTCATCGCAGGGGGGGTATTTTAGAATTCGTAGTCCGTTTAAATATTTATTTAACTGTATATTCACGTACGTATCTATGTGTGTTTATGCACGTATTCATGTATGTGTGTATTGATACATTAGCGTATACATTTGTCTGTGTGTTTGTGTATATGTACGTATTCATGTATGTATATAGGATGCATTAATGTATACGTATGTTTATGTAGTCATGTATACATTTTTGTATGCATTCGTGTATTCATTCATGTAAGCATGTATGTATTCATGTATGTATTTACGTATGTATGTATATTATGTATGTATTCTATGTATGTATTAAGTATGTATGTATGTATGTATGTAGTATGTATGTATGTATGTATGTATGTATGTATATGTATGTATGTATGTATGTATGTATGTATGTATGTATGTATGTATGTATGTATGTATGTATGTATGTATGTATGTATGTATGTATGTATGTATATGTATGTATGTATGTATGTATATGTATGTATGTATGTATGTAGTATGGTATGTATGTATTTATGCATGTATGTATTTACGTATGTAAATGTATGTATGCATGTATGTAATTCCTATGTATTCATGTATGAATTCAAGTATTTATTCATTTACTGAAATGCGTTTGTTCACATACACACAGTCACACACGCACGCACACACACACACACACACACGCACTTCCCAAAATACATGTCTAGAATGAAAAAAACATTTGAAATAAAGATTTTCCCTGTATCTATCCACGATCTTTCTATTCATATATCTATCCACCCATTCGGAGGCCTCTATTTTTGTACTATCTATATGGTTATGTATTCGCCTATTTACGCATCTATCAGTATCTATCAACATCTATCCGTATCTATCAGTATATTCATCTATCTTCTATTTACCTATCTATCTGTATTTATCAGTGTATTTAACTGTGTGTTTATTTATCTGTCTGTCTGTTTATCTATACATCTATATGTCTATTCAACTGTCTTTCTAATCAATTATTTTGATATTCATCTGTCTACCCATCCAACTGTATGTATATTAATGTGTTTCTCTTTATTCGTATATATACATTTGTATTCTTTTTTTATGCAGAATAAATGCCTTTCCTCCAACTTACTGCATTATTGTTTATATAAAATGGCTCTTTAATCTGTATTTTGTATCTTTTTTGTTTCATTTGTGTGTATATAGAGTGTGTATGTGTATTTACGGTCTCTTCCCATGCACGCCCACAGACTGGCCCCTGGGACGTGCCGCTTCGACTCCGCGCGCCCACGTGTGCCTGGCGGAGCAGAGGCACTTGCAGGGGCGCCAGACCTCGCTCTGCGTGCAGGTCTGAAAGCGAATTCATGTCCCGCGGATGAGGGCGAGCGAGCACGCCCATTCCGAGTGCAGGCGGAGCTGTGTGTGCCTGGCGTCCTCTCGGCGGCTCTTGAGTGTCTCCTTCGGGCGGGCGTCGGGGTCACGTCCTCGGGCACTGGCAGCAGAGGTGGCGGCGCGCCCCCAGGACCAGCGGTGTGGCGGCGCGTGTGAGGTGCGGGCGGGGGCGGAGAGCGCCCCGGGAATACCACGAGGCACCGCAGGAAGCTGGTTGGACACCGTGTTGTGCCACGGATAATAGCCCCGTGTTGGCACTCCCTGGGGGTGCCTGCTGATACCCTGGTGGAAGCTCCCAAACCCCGGGTCGCGCCCGGGAGGGGGTCGCGCCGCGCCCCATTGCAGGGCACCGACAGCAATGGGCAAGGTGGGCATGTGTGTAATTCGAGGCGTGTCGTGGGTGGCGCCGCTGACAATGTAGCGTGTGTGATGTGCCCCGCGGGGCTGCCATGTTGTCGCCGTGCCCCTCCCGTGTCACATGGCGGGGGTCACCAGCCCCCTGGGTCTTGCAGCCACACACACCAGCGCCTCGGCCATGAGTCCTGGGGTCCGGACCGGCTACCGGAGGGAGGAAAACGCCTGCTTTTGCTTGTATGCTTTAATGTCTTAAATATTTTTCGTGCTTGCGGTTCTTACATCATAGATACAAGTTTAAATCGTGTAAGATCGCGTCTGAATGGGCCTACGCTATCTCGTACCCTGGGTGGGAGCCTACTGAGAGGCTCGACAGGAGCCCACCCTTGGCTCCGCCTCCCCGGGCCGGCCTCGCTCCGCCCTTTCTCGGCGTCTCTGGCAGGTGAGTGGCCAGAATTCCCATGGGAGGAGCCCATTAATTGCCCTCAGCCAATGGGGGCCGCTGGGCGCGAGGGGCGGGGCCGGGGGCGGAGCCGAGTCTCCTGCCGCGAGCCAATGGGAGGCCAGAGTGTTGAGCCCCGCTGCGCGCACCAGTGGGCTGGCGAGACCCCCCGCGGCGCCCAGCGAGCCTCCCCGCTATAGCCTTAATGATGAATCGTGGAGTGTTCACACGAAGCTCAGGTGTTGCGGTGGATGTTGGGTGTCGTTCGCTCGGGCGGAGTCAGTCGCACGCTTGAGCGCGAGCCATACGGAGTGCGCCAGTGAAACAGTTCAGTGCGGGAAGTGAAGTGTTTGTGAAGTTACTTTTGAGAGCGCGCGCTGTTCTTCAGCACCATGTTGAACCCATTTATGGATAGCGGCCACATGGGTTCGCTCATGGGCCACAAGCTCAGTCCGCCGACCCACCACATGGGCGCGGAGAGCATCGCCCACACGCAGGGCAACCAGTACAACAACGGCTACGGCATGTCGCACCACACCATGCACCACGGCCACATGGGCACGTACCCGAGGGAGCTGTTCCTGCGCAGGGACCACATGACGTCGCTGGGCACGCTGGGCACGCACGACCTGGCCAACAACCAGCACCACACGATGTTCGGGGCGACGCTGGGCGGCCACGACCCGTCCACCATGATGTTCCCCGGCCTGCACGACGCCCACCACGGCCACATGAACAACATGAACAGACTGGCCGGCATGGACTGGTCGCACCAGCAGATGGGCTCGCAGGTGTACCACGGCATGAACCACATGAACATGAACCCCATGGCGGCGGCCCACGCGCCCGGCGCCTTCTTCAGGTACATGCGGCAGCCCATCAAGCAGGAGCTGTCGTGCCTGTGGGTGGACCAGGACCAGCCCAACCCCAAGAAGCCGTGCAACAAGACCTTCACCAGCATGCACGAGATCGTCACGCACATCACGGTGGAGCACGTGGGCGGCCCCGAGTGCACCAACCACGCCTGCTACTGGCAGAGCTGCCCTCGGAATGGGCGCTCCTTCAAGGCCAAGTACAAGCTGGTGAACCACATTCGGGTGCACACGGGCGAGAAGCCGTTCCCGTGCCCGTTCCCCGGCTGCGGGAAGGTCTTCGCGCGATCCGAGAACCTCAAGATCCACAAGAGAACTCACACGGGTAAGTGCTCCTTTCCGAGTCGTTCTCGAGCTCTCGAGGGTCGCCCTCCTCGCCCGGCGGACGCGGGGCGGAAGGGCGCGGGCGGAAAGGTGGGAAAGGTGGGAAAGTTTCCGTCCAAGGAAATGGTATTTGGCGAGCAGAGCCTCAAGGGAAATGGGTCGGGAGGGAAGGCGTGAGGGCGGGAGGACGACCATTTATCTCGCTGGTGTTCCGCCGTAACCCGGGGCCACTGCGGCTCGGCGTGTCGGGTCGCCGCTGCGGGCCGCACTCCACATTCTGCGCCGCCCGCCCTAGCCCGCACGTAACCAGGGAATCCTCAAACCCATAACCTAAATCCCACTGTAAAAATATCCTATGACATTTTTTTCTCTTAAGATCCCCGAGTAAAATTAGTTAAGAGGCTACCAGGAGAGAAGAGAACAGGGAAAAGGGAAGAATGTCCGTATTTACAGTCCCAAAGTGTATAAAATATGGAAATGAGCCAAAATGTACCAGACTGTGGCGTGACCAAGGCCGTGAGCGGCGAGTTAGCGGGCCGGCGGGAACAGAGCGCGCCGGCAACACCCACAAAGACATAA